AATTTATGATGTAAGCCAGTAAGCACTCATAAAGTAAGTGGCCTAATTAAGAATGAAAAATTGAACCTGATTTTACAAGTTTTTTGCCTAAAAACTTGGACGCATGAAATATTGTGAGAAATCATTTTGAATTTTGTTTGTTTAAATTATAGTAACTCTCTTGATATTCCTTAAAATTACACAGGATGAAATCATTTTTCATAGTATCCATAAATATTGTAAGTCACTGTTTCTTTAGTCTGAGGCTTAGTAGACTGGGTGTCTACTAAGAATGCAGTTCCACAGCTCAGCAGGTCCCAGGATCTGAAGAAAATTGTCTCCTTCATCAGCCCATCAGGACACAAAGGAGTAAATCCAGATTTGGTGGTGGTGAGGTGACAGTATAAGACTAACCTGGGGCCTTCTGCAGGAAAACTTTCCCTGAAGCAAATCTGAGGATAGTAGCCAGGGAGACAGGCATTATTGACCTTTGGCCTTGTTTTTTAAGCATAATTTGATTTTTTTTTTTCTCAGAGAACTTTAGGGAAATTCTCCTTTGTCTTTAGTTTAATGTAGAAATGGCCCCTGAAAAACCAACACATTAGGAAAATTTTTTTCTCAGCCTTGAGTATATTCACATGTCACCAGGCTCTGAAATGAGTTATCACTGTGCTTTATTATTTTGCCTCATAGCTATTGCCTTTCTGATCCTGAACTTGAGCACTTCATGACCCATCTTTTTAGCAGCCTTTTACACTGTGCTAGTGTTTTTTAAATTTATGGTTGAGTAAGTCAAGATTTGGATGGAAGGAAGATGAAATTGAAATATATCTGTCACCAATGTGTGTGTATGTGCATGTGCATGTGATAAAAAGCATATTGATTCAACATCCTCCTCATTATGTTATAGACAAAGCAAAAATAAGAATGTATAGTGAAAGGGCATATATTGCCAGCAACATGTTAGTAAGTATTTAAAATTCAGAGTATCTTCTCTTTTTTATTATGCAGAATAAATGATTAAAGCTGAATATTGGTGAACCACTCACTGCCTGTGCTCTTTGACTTGTTGGTGATCCACTTTCTACAACATCACATCCACTTTTTTTTGTTATAAATAACTTTTCTATGGGTTATTTTCACTCTGCAACAATCTCTTTAACCAAGGGAAGGAGAATTCCTTTGGAAAATACTCAATTCTTTGGTACACAATGATTGCACAGTAAACACAGTTTCTGGGACATCTTAAGGAAGGTTAATTCTCTAGAAAAATCAAATTGGTTTGCATTTGTTGGCAAATTTGTTTCTGCATCTCTTTGACCAACTCTAAACCTCCAGTTCCTTGACTTTCTCCTAAACTAGTCTTAACATCTTCCTGATTTCCTCATTAATTCAGTCAAGTAGAATTTTTGACTTCTGGTTTTTTCTTTTTAATGAGACTTTTAACTTTTTGAAAATTATACTTGCAAGAGTATTGCCAACATGAGCTTATATAACTCCCATATAATGGTAAGACCCACTTCCAACCTCATGCATCTTTAAGTTAAACTTGGCCAAGTAAAAGAGAATAACACACATACATACATATATGCTGTGTAAGATATATATATATATATAATTTCTTAAATGTAAAGAGAAGTATAAATTGGTTCTATGATGTTAATATATGAAAAATTACAAGTTAATATTAATTTTAAGCTGGGGATGTGGCTCAAGCGGTAGCGCACTCGCCTGGCATGCGTGTGGCCCAGGTTCAATCCTCAGCACCACATACAAACAAAGATGTTGTGTCCGCTGAAAACTAAAAAAAAAATATTAAAAAAAAATTCTCTCTCTCTCCCTCTCTGTCTCTCTCTCTCTCTCCACTCTCTTAAAAAAATAATTTTAAGAACTACAGACAATTTTAAGAGGCTGGCCTGTTGCTCAATGGACTCATTCTGTTTGCAAAAGCCCAGTGTTTGATCTGAGTTCTTCCCTTGTGAAGCCATGGATAATCTATGGGTATTAAAGATTCGTGGATGAGAAAAGAAGAATTTTAAATATTCTCAGGGATCTACCTGTGTGACCAAGATATCTCTATGTGAGAAAAACATGACTCTCTGAGGGCTGGAAGGTAAACAAACTTTGTGATTTCAAAGGGGTTTCCTGAGATTAGTGAAAATAGGAAATAAACCCACATCTAATGAAATGGTGGCATAGCACATTTGAAAGGAACCCTCTCCTATGATTTTCAGCTCTGGAATGTGGTGTCAATTAGATACTGCCTTTGCCTGAGTGAGAGATTTGCATTCCCATGCAACTTTATTTCTGGCAAGGGTGACACCTGGCAGCTTAGGAAAGAAGACAATTTAGTAAAGAAGCATGACTGGGCAGGTCTGTCCAGCATCAGCCATTCATTGCATAAGGTGAAGAACTTTCTGGGTTTGATGCTATCACAGTCTCTGCCATTCAGGTGTGCACAGTCTTGTCATAAAGAGACATCAAAGCTAGAACATGAGCAAGCAGAATGAAAATGATGTAGGAGAGATGTAAGCGCTCTGGAGGTCAGAGGAGGCGGGCATATCCACAGAGGGACCAGAAGGGGCCTTGGAACAGTGGTGGAAGTCCAGAGATGTCTGAAAGACCAACTAGGGTTTCAACAGACAGATGTGAGTGGGGGCTCTTTAGTTGAGTCCACCAGCTCAGCAAAGATGTGTGGAAATAGAACAATGGTGTTTAAAGACTTGTGAACAGTGAGGCAGAAGCAAAATAGTGGGCCCACCTTTTATCAGTCTCCCAAGGAATAGGGTAAGAGGCTTGTTCTCAATTCAGTAGAAAAGCAGAAGGAAAAGATGTGACCAAGAAGTCCATTTGAGTTTGAAATTGAAAGGAACTACTATTAATTGAATACTTACAGTGTGCCAGGGACTTGATAGTTGTTATCATAACATTACAGCCAGGAGACTGAGAAGTCTCTGGAGAGATTGAGAAATGAAAATCACAGTGGAAACAACTGCAAATTCAAATCACAAAGCTCACCTTCTTTCTCCCACTCCTTATTGGCTAGCAGGGAGGAATGGTGGGGAGATCACTACAGAAGCCATTGTGCCAATTCAAACAATAGGTAATGAGGGGTAGAAAGAGGAAGATGGCTTTGGAAATGGAAAGAAGGACATAAAGAAGCATCCAAGAAGGCCAGTCACTGTGGCAAAGGAAATAGATGCCTAGGAAGAGTCTAATTAATGCCCAGTTTTGAAGCCTGGACTCAGGAAATGTGTTTAAAAGGAAAAAAAAAATCTGGAGAAGGACCTGGTTTAGAGAACAAAAAAAATAAGCTCAGTTTGATAGTTACTATGAGATGGATCAGGTTCCATTTAAGATGTAGGAGACATCTGCACAGAAGTGAGAGGTGAAGACTTTGAATAAATGGCTAAGGTGAAGGAACACGGAAGGACCAGCAGACAGCTTTAGACAATGCCCACCTTTAAGTGGAGGATAGAGATAGAACTAGGGGAGAAAAGGGAGAGGGAAGTGAATCAGTAATGAGCCTGAAAGGCAGGAGAGAATTTCAATGCACTGACCCCAAAAGTTAGGAGTCCAGCAGTCCTAGTGCTAGTGGCCTCAAGTTGTATCAGAGAGCACACTGGTCATCCTGGGTCATGGGCCTGGGGCCTGGGACACACTCCAGCCTGAGAGGGTGAGAAGCCATGGGGAAGGTAAAGATGGGGAAAGAGACTGACTGGGGTGAGGCTCAGGTCAAAGGTGACCCTATTCATGGGTGATGGGGATGTAGGAGCAGAGAAGACTGGGAGAATAAAAATGCCCCGGAGAAAAATAGACAATGGGGCTAAAGCTTAGAGCTGGAGACAGAGAAAAAAAAAATAAAAATGGTTTTGTTTTTCTTTCTTTCCTACCTACAGAAAACCTGTTTTTGTATTTATTTGCATCTTCTTAAGGATCAGCACTTATGTTACAAGGCATACCTCCAACCCGGAAAAGAACCACAAGTTACAGTGAATAACAATTAGTGCTTTTCTGACGCCTTCTGTTTGTTGTTGTTTGTTTGTTTTAATTTGTTATACATGATAGTACAATGACCTTGACATATCATACATTTGAATCTGATGGGATATAATTTCTCATTTTTCTGAGTGTACAGGTTGCAGAATCATATTGGTCATGCAGTCACATATATACACACAGTAATAATTAATGTCTGTTTCATTCTTCTATCCTTCCTATCCCTCACCCCTCCCCTCCCCTCCCATCACTTTTCTCTACCTAATCTATGGTAATGCTCTTCTTTTTTTTTTCCTCATATCTTCATACATGTATTTTGTATAATGATGAGTGTCTCCTTCCATCATCCATGAATTTTCCCTTCTCCCTCCCACCCCTCTTCCCTATGTAGAGGTAATCTTCTTCCCATGCTCTTCCTCCCTATCCCATTTTGAGTCACCCCCTTATGTCAGAGAAGACATTCAGTATTTGTTTTTTGGGGATTGGCTAACTTCACTTAGCATAATCTGCTCTAATGCCATCCGTTTCCCTGCAAAAGCCATGATCTTATTATTTTTTAGTGCTGAGTAATATTCCATTGTGTATATATGCCATGTGTTTTTTTAATCCATTGAAGGGCAGAGGAAGTACGTTCTCAACTAGTCTTTCTCTTGAAATCCAAAAATTAGTATTTGGAAAATCATGCCTGTTTATACAATAAGCATTCTGAAGTGCCTACTGTGTGCCAGAACAGCAGACCCCGTCCCATAAATCAGAGTTAACAGGTTGTTGTTTTCTCCAGGTCCTAAGGAATCCAGAAAACAGAGCAAGCTTCTGTATTTGTAATAATGGAATTGCAGTAATATGTTACTTATTTTAAAACAGTGATAAAAACTCATTGCCTGGAAGTAGCCTTTGTTCGCAGCACTTCAGTATGCATTACAGAGCTCCGTGGTGCTATAAGCATGGGTTACAAAGTTGCAAAAGAATACTTGGTGGCAAACTGTCAAGCAAGACCTTATTTTACATTTAATGCCTTGTAGGAAGAAGAGGACACAAGAGGAATCTTTGGAGAAGACAGGAGAGTTCAGTTGTTGTGAAAAGCAAGGAATCCATGCCTTCCATTGCTGGGGATCTCCAAGTCACTTGCTGGTTTTGCTGAGCCAGGTCTGGGTGCCATCCTTAAATGGAAGAGAATATTTACAAAAGAAAATACATTCTTCAGGTGGGTATTTTGTAATGTACTCCTGAGAGCTGTCGTAGAGATAAGTTTCATAATGGGTCCTTTTAGCATGAGCTCTGAACCTTCCATCTGACCCTTCGAATTGAATCATTAATCTGTGGTCCAGACTCAAACCTCCTGTGTTTCTTATAACTAATAATCTTATTTCCTTCATGTTAGTCTAACTTCTGTTTGAAACAGATGCTTTTATAATTGGATCCCTGGTACTTAGTGGTCTACAAAATATGCATTGATCCATGCATGACCTTCTTTGTTATTTTCAATGAAGATAAAACTCCTGAAACTCCCCCTCCCCCACTGCCAAAAAAAACACTAGGACCTTAACAAGAAATTAAAACATATATATCTACCTTATAAATCCACATTCATCTGATTTCCCTCCTTCTCCCAAGCCAAAGTGAACCATCGTCCCAAGTTATGTGATTAATATTCCCTCGCATTCTTTTCTATAGTATCTTATCAAACTTCTTTGTGTGGGCTAGGGATATAACTCAGTTGGTAGAGTGCTTGCCTTGCATGCACAAGGCCCGGGGTTCAATCCCCAGCACAACAAGAAGCAAAATAAAAATAAAAAAGTCTTCTTTGTGTTATACATATTTCAAAAAGTATGTGTATGCATACATGTTGTTTTAACTTTATAAAAATAAAAAATATAATTATAGGGCTTATATTGGCAAGATACACCCTGGTGATGCTTGTGGCAGGCATTTGGATTGGGCTTTCTATAATATTTTATTATATGAATATATCAGAATTGATTTACCAACACTACCTTTCCTGGTTGTCTGGGTTACTCATAAGTTCTTGATATTATGAACTGTGCTTTTATGAACATTCTTACATTTATGCAGTTTTATCCATGTGCAATCTAGGAGTGAAATTGTTAGGTTAAGGGTTATATTCAACTTTAGGGGAGAGTGTCAAACTATTTTTTTAAATTTTTTTATTGGTGCATTATAGTTTTATCTAACAGATTATGTATACATGGAATATAATTTTCCCATTTCATTCCCCAGTACTTCCTCTTTCCTTCCCCTCCTCCCTCACCTTTTATCCTTCCTCTACTCTGCTGGCCTTCCTTTTCTTATTGCTTCTTTTTAAGTTGGTGCTGTATAGCAATACAGAAAGGTGGAATTCACTGTGGTATATTTGTATGTATTTATACCATAATTTGGTCAAATGTATTCCAAAGTTCTTCCCTTTTCATGTGCCTCCTCCCTCCCCCTCTACTCCACTGATATATTTTCCTGGGATCCACTCTCCTTTTTAATTTTTTTTTTTTCTTATTGTGCTCTAGCTTCCACATATGAGAAAAAAATTAAAAAATGGCCCTTGACTTTCTGAGCCTGGCTTATTTCACTTAACATGATGTTCTCCAATTTCATCCATTCATTCAATTACCAGTAAATGCCATCATTTCATTCTCCTTTATAGCTGAGTAAAACTTGCTTGCATAGATATACCACATTTTCTTCATTTATTCATGTGTTGACAGGCACATGGGCTGGTTCCATAACTAAGTTATTGTGAATTGTGTTGCAATAAATGTTGATGTAGCTGAATACCTATAGTGTGCTGATTTTAGATCTTTTGGATAAATATCAAGGAGTAAGATAACTGGATCATCTGCTGATTCCTTTGAGGAATATCCATTGTGCTTTCCAAAGTGCTTGTACTAATTCGAAGTCCCACTGACAATGTCTGAGTGTACTTTTCCCCACCAGGTGCATGGAGCCTGGTGGAGGAAGTGTGTTCCCGGGAAGTGTGTGTAGAGGGCCAGTGAGATTTTGGGAATAAAGGTTGCTGTTTGAACCTACAAGGCTGTGTTATTTTGTGCCCAGCCAGACTGCGGCAGGGTACATGGGAATTTATGGTATAATTTTTCCCCTATGGCTGGGAACTGAACCTAGGACCTCATACTCTACGTAAGCACTACTATGCTCTAACACTGAGTCTCACTGTACAGCCCTGTATAATGTTTATATAAGTTTGAAAATTATAATATGCAGGTTGAGGGGGGTTGATGTAAAATGAAATTTTTTTATAAAAAATGCTGAAAGCATATTCCTATCAGTAACAACCAAAACTAAACATTGTCTAAAGCTATGAAATTTTCTGGTAAAAGCTACTGAAACTTTTTTGTTTTAATGAATATCCAAACTGACTAATGTTGGCCAGTGTTTCATTCTGGAAAACTAATTTGATAAATGAGCATTCATAAATTAATTCCTGGGCTATTAAGCCTTGAAGAAGAGAATGCAGTCCTAGCAGGGGGAAAAAAATAGATGTGAGAAAGAGGAAGCAACAGAATTTAGCTGGAATTCTGCAACCCGGAGAGGGAGAAGGAATATGGAGATTGGCAGGGCCCAGTCCTAGGTCAGTTATAGCCATGGTAGGGTTTTATAATACTTGGAAGTTGTATTATGAGGATTTTTTTTCCTGATTGTAAGCATAATGTGATATAAACAAATTTGGACTAAGGAAAAGAAAATGAAAACTATAATCCTGTCACTCACATTTTTATGAGACATGCTAATAAGAATTTTTCTTGATACTTTACTTTTTCTTCTGAAGGATTGAGAGTCTTGATATGATGACCAGTAGGTGACTGCCTGACCCCAGTCAAGGACCTTTCCAGATAGTACCTTTGTCCACGCTGGATCACCTACCAATATTGACCATTATTCTTTTTTTGAAAAAAATATTTATTCTAATTTATTATACATAACAGCAGAATGGATTTCAATTTATAGTACACATACAGAGCACAGTTTTCCATGTCTCTGGTTGTATATGAAATAGAGTCACACCATTCGTGTCTTCATACATGTACTTAGGGTAATGATGTACATCTCATTTCACCGTCTTTCCTACCTGCATGCTCCCTCCCTTCCTATCCCTTCCCTTTGCCCTATCTGAAGTTTCTCCATTTATACCATGCTCCTCCTCACACCCTCATTATGGATCAGCATCCACATATCAGAGAAAACATTTGGCCTTGGGGGTTGGCTTATTTCACTTAGCATGATTTTCTTATCTTTAAAAAAGAAAATTACAGTAGTCCCTTTTATCCACATGGGGTAGGTTCCAAGACACCAGCAAATGCCTGAAAACACACAAAATTTTTTATAAAAAATGCTGAAAGCATATTCCTATCAATAACAATCAAAACTAAACATTGCCTAAAGCTATGAAAGCTATCTATTGCTTTTTCTATTCATACATGTATACCTATGATAAAGTTTGTAAATTAGGCACAGTAAGAGAATAACAGCAATAATTAATAATAAAATATGACAGTTACAGCAATATACTATATATGCAAATGCTCACGCGCTCTCTCTCTCTCTCTCTCTCTCTCTCTCTCTCTCTCTCTCTTTGAATGGAATTTTAGTTAACTGAAACAGCAGACATCAGAATGCTGGATAAGAGGGGTTTGTGATTGTTAGAAAATATGATGAGGAGATAAATAAATAAATGTGTGTATGTAATTTTTTACTAGACAGGTATCATTTCCAGCACTTTAGTGTGTATCCTAGACTTTTCTTCTGTCATTACTCACATGGATATTATGGAATCTTCTCATAGAGTATATTCTAGTTTGTAAGTTTTCTGCCTAACACTACATATAATTCATCAATGTTATAAATGTTCATCTACTTTAATGTTTGAGTGGTACAGAATATTGCATCATGTGAGCAATGTCTAAACTGCATTTCAAATGTGCATCACAGTCACCAACCAATCACAGTGGATGCTGGCTAGTGCTCTCATACACTGTCATTGACCAGGTCTTCGCTGAGCCAATCGCACTTTGGTGACTTTTACATTGTTTTTATTTGTTCCCAACCAGTTGCAAGAATGAAGTGAATATCTTATATACTAAACCTTTGTGCACAGCATGATCATTGTGTAAGGAAACGTTTTAATAAGTTTAAAAATTCTTTTTTTTTTTATATTTGAACACACAAGTTTATTTACCTGTTAATACAAAGATTTCTGAAATGATTTTTTCTAAATTTTTATTGTTGGTTGTTCAAAACATTACATAATTCTTGATATATCATATTTCACACTTTGATTCAAGTGGGTTAACCAAAGGAATTTCCATGTTTTAACTTTTATAATTTATTTAACCAAATTGTTCTCCAAGGTTTTATTAATTTACATTGACATTGGTAGGAAACAAAAGTCCATTTTCCACACTCTCTGAGAGTATTACCATCAATATTCTAAGTTCAAATAACATTTCACTAATTCAGTTTGCATTTCTTCTATTACAATTGAGATAAAATTTTCCATGTTTCTTGGTCATTTTTGTTTGTTTGTGTGGGCTGTCTTTTGGTATTCTTTCTCCTTTTGTCCACCAAGTGTCTTTTCTCTTATTTATTTGCAAGAAGTGTGTCTATTGAGAGCATTGTCTTCATTAAAGCTGCAAGCTTTTTTTTTATAAATTTCTCTTTTGTCTTTTTTTTCTATAACTTTGTCTTTTAGATTCTTAAAAATGTTATGTTGTTAATCTTTCAGTATTTTTAAATTCTCTTTTTGTTTGAGTGCATATATAAATATATATATCATCCAATTTTACTTTTGACATTATTTTTTTCATTCTCTTTATCTAAATCTTGGTTCCACTGAGAATTTATGTTAGTATGAGATACAATGCAGGGATCTAACCTTCTTCGAATTGGTGAGCTTAGTGGTCAAATAACATTTATTGAAAATATTCTCTTTGCCTCCTGATTTTAATTGGCACCTTTGTCTTATATTGTACATCTGTTTGCAGCTAGATATATTATTGTTATTTCAATTCTATTTCTATGTTGATTATTCTTGCAATCATATTTTTATCATTCTGCAATGACTTTTAATAACTTGTTGAAGAGTTCCCTTTCTATTATTATGCTGTTTGAAATTTTTTGGCTAACTGGCCATCCTTAAGCATTTATTCTTCTACATGAACATTCAATATTCCTTTTGTC